CCATGGCTAGTGCAACTGAGAAACTGAACTTTTTGTTCTGTTTAATTTAAATAGAACACACATGGCCAGTGGCTTCCATATGAACTGTGTAGTTCTAAGGAGTTAAACTTTTCAACTTTTCACGCAGTCCAGCCTTAGATGCTAACCTCATTTTCCGGACTCAGGTGCAAGTCTGTCTGTCTCTTCCTAAACTGCTCTGGCTTCCGGTCTCTGTGGTCATAAGTCAGAGGCCCTACCCACTGCGAGTGATCTCAGCTCTGAGATTCCTCCCCCCTTTGCCCCTTTTTATGTTTCTCCAGTTTGGGGCTATTCAGTTTGGAATAACATCTCAAAAAAGGGCTGTATGAGAACATTCAGTGTTGAATATTGACACCCCAAGAACCCACAGGCAGGGTGTGGGGAGGGGCTTGGGCACTCTGAGCCTTGCAGGTTGGTCTATTTGGGGCTCAGCCTCCACCTCCCACCAGTGTGAATTTTAGGCACCCCTCTATTCTTGGAGAGATCGCTAGGGCTGTTAGACACACACCGCTGTCATCATCATCATCATCATGATTATCATCTCTCAAGGCCAAACACTTATCCTGAGAATGTACAGTTCAAAGCTAATGAGAAAAAATGTTTTTCTAACTGGCCTGTGATTTGCCAGGCAGGCCCTTCTCCATGAAGTCAGCGTCAGGCTCTTATGCTGGGGGCGGTTTAGATCCTTCCCTCCTGCACCTACCTCCAAATTCTGCTCTTCCAGACCCTCTGGGCATAGGGGAAAGATGTATGCATCTTAAAAGCTGCTCCCTTCCTTACACAAATGGAAGCTTTGAAGTCATTATTGTATTACGGAGTCTACTCTTAATCATGAACCTTGTTTGCCTGAGTATCCTTCTGGGGGAAACAGAAAGGTGGCTTATTTTTGTTATGATCGCCCTTCCATTTCTAATCCTCTGTTCTCCGTGTTGTTTCACCACCTGTGCTCCGGTTCTACACCCTGCACTCTGTCTCGGTTCTCTGTTCCCACGGGGATCTCAGCTCCATGCTGTCCTGGACGCCTACGTTTTCCCAGCCAGCCTAGGATCTCCCCTTTTGTGATTTTTTTTGCAACTTCCTATAGAACCGCACTATATCATTTCCTATTAGCTAAAATGCTGACCCAATGAATGAATGGATGGATGAGATGCTGCCAGGCATGGCTGGTTCCTGCAGACAGGCCCTTGGTGCCTGCTAGAGCCGGGTCCAGGGAGGACATTCGCCAAGCTCCCACAGTGGACTGACCCCTGCCATTTCTCTGCACGTGGTTCTGATTGGCTTCAGTTCTATGCCTTAAACACGTCACCGGTGCTAAAAATAGAATGAATATCTCTTTAAAAAATAAAAAACAAAGATTTTTTTTTAAAAGCAGTATGGACTCAGGGAGAGGAAGAGGGTGGAGAGGCAGAGAGGAGACGGTCCTACAGAAGGGGGGGTCATAGCCAACCTCTCGCTCTAGTGGGGAATGACATTTAAAACCTCTCTGTCTGTGACTCCCAAGAAGCTGCCGCGGGCCAGCAAACGTGAGCAGACGTACTCTGAGGGGGTAAAAATGGACTAACAACAAAAGTGAGGGGTGGTAGGGAGGAGTGAGACCAAAAGCAGATGTGAAATCCCATTTCCACAATAGACGCCGCTGGGCCCGGCGGATTCCCGGAGAGGAAATGTCCCCTCTCTGGTCCTCTCCCTGGCATGGAGCAGACTGGCGCTGTGGGCAGGCCTTTCAAGCCATTCGTGCTTCGCCCAGAGAGAGGGGGGATTACGGAATGGCAGGGTGGATTGGCCGTATTGACTTGACCATCCAACCCCTCTCTCCTGCTCCATTCTACAGATGTAGAGACAAAGGCCCAAGGAGTGAATAAAGTGTGGCCCGAGTTGTAGAGTGGAGCCAGGGGACAGAGCCAGGGTCTTCTGACATCCAGCTCTGTGAGTTTTCTCCTACCCAAGGATAGATGGATCATTAATAAGCACCAGTATACACAAGGTTAGCTGGTCCCTTCAGTTGTTAAACCATCACAAATGAAATCTATTTTTCACTGAGCATCTACCCCAATTCACAGTTGGGATGGTTTTATCTCTCTTATTTGGGGGGAAAAAAGAAAGTGGGCTGGGTGGGAGCCAGGAGACCTCAGCTGGAGCTCAGACTCCCACCAGCTCTAAAAATAGAATCAATATTCTCCTTCGTGGCAGATTCGGCTCTCACCAATTGTCCTGACGTGTGACATGTGACACTGTATGTTTCAGACAAATGGTGTGGAAGTGTCTTCTCTGTCCAGCGTTAATCTCCCACCAGGCGCCAGCTCCTGAGCTAGTCTCAGATACAGTCCCTGCCCACAGGGGCTCACACGGCAGGCACCGCGGGCCCCCTTCCCTGGAAGGCTTTGGGTCCTCCGAGCACAGGCGTGAGTGACCCTGAGACAGGCACAGAAAGGACTAGGTTCTCCATCATTTTCTGAGGAAAGATTTTTCTTATAGGAATAAGGGAAAAATCAGGAGAGTCAAAGTGATCAACTAGAATCACAGGAATTCTACAGGACCCCAGAAGTGAAGGTGATTTGAGGAAAGGGTTTGTGCTTTTCCTACAGTTCCTAAAATTGTATCCCATAGACTGTCTTTGGTCAAATTAAGACCAGAATTGAAATTGTGTCCTCAAATGTCAGGAAAACACCACTCTGTGTTTTGGTCCTTCCTCCAACGTTCACTGTCACTTGCTCCAGCCAGGAGCAGTGGGCAATGCCAGTCAATGCTCCCATTCCACCAATGGGGTGATCCTTCTTACGCTCCCTGGTGTGGCCAGGTTCAAGGACCACTGTTCTTTCCTCATTGTAATTGGTCTATCTGCAACGTGGGTGCAGCTGACTGGCCTTCAGTCTTGAAACCTACAAATGCATCTGCCTATTCCAGAGCTTCCTTTGACTAGCCAATAGAAACCTCAAACCTAACATGTCCAAATTGAACACCTGATTTCCCTATCATACAAACACGTGAACACACACACACACATACACACACACACACATCCTTTCGCTCAAGCCAAAACTGGAGAGTTGCCCTTTAGCCAAGGTCTAATCTGTCAACATGCCCTGGCAGCTTCCCTCCAAAACAGACCGCAGAGTCGACTCCGTACCTTCTCCCTGCAAACAGCCTCAGCAGCACGACAAGAGAGACGGTGGCTGATGGACCTCATCTCACATTCCACATCTGCCACCATTGCATCACTAGGGGAGTTTGATTCTCCTTCCCGGTTCTACTGCAAAAAAAAATTCCAGGGATGGATTCCGACAGGTCCAGTTCAGGTCCCCACCCCTTGGACCAAGACAGTTCCTACTACAACTACTTGGTTGGTGTGTAGGAGGAATAGTTTCCAAAAGGAGGACTTTGTCGGCCCCACAAAAGAGGTGATCCTGGGCAGATAAAGCCAAATACGTGTCCACCTCCCTCTGTTGGAGCCCCAGTCACCGTGCACTCCAGGTCACGTGCAAGCCTGTCCGTATCCCCCACCTCAGTGGGACGATGAGGTGCTTCCACCCAGGGACCACATCTTCATCATTCCTATAGCTCATGGCCTCGTGTCGTGCCTGGCACAAAGACACACGTGCTTGACAGAAACATAGAGGAAGGAGTGACAAACTAACAGGTGGAATGAAATACTTGCAGTAAGAAAGATCACCCAGGGCTAGAAAGATCAGGAAAGAATTTTTGGAGATTACAGGAATGGATTTAGGTGGTGAAGACCCAGTAGAAATCAGATTTGCAGGCAAGGGAGAAGAGGTGACCCCAAACAGAGGGGAGTGCCTGAGAAAAACCAGAGAGATGAGCACACACGTGGCGTGTGGCAGAGACGGTAAGGAGCCCAACTTGAATGGAGTGAGGTGTGCGGACTGACAGAGTGGGGGCAGGGCTGGCTTCATGGGTGTGCGTGTGACCCACCCACATGCACAGGGCCCTGGGCTGGGAAGGCAGCCCTGCAAGTGGACTGAGCACCATGGTCACCACCTGGAAATTCTTACCAATTGCGTGTTTGAATCCGTGTTTGGTTAGTGACACCCAATGTGCCAGCAAAGCATGTGCCAGGGGCTTGGTGCCTCACCCCACAGTCAGTGCCCTTCCCCCACCTCCCGCTTCCCTGCGATGGGCTCTTGGCCAACCATTTCCCTGCCCCCGCCCAGCGACCTCTGCCTCCCTCCATCTTGGGAGGCGAAGGGGGTGACAAGGGTTCTCAGAGGGTCCAGGTCAGGCACGGAGTTGCAGGGTGGAGCCAAGTTTCTTCGCTGGTCATCCAGGTCCCCAAGTCCGGGTCCCTGCCAGGGTCTGCGTGTACCCTGTGGGTGTCCTTGCTTTCTCTCAGGGGGGCACGACGTGAAATAGCAAATAAAAAACCCACCATGACAGTTCAAGAGAGAGACTGTGGAAGACAGGAAAAAGCTTTTTTCCTGCTTTTTGAGCAAGGGGCCCCACACTGTCATTTTGCGCTGGGCCCCGCAAATGACGTAGCTGGCCCCGAGCAGAATTGAGGCTGGACAGGTGGGCTGGAGACAGGCTGCCAGGGGCCCTGACTGCTGCAGAGCTCAGCCTTTGCTCTGTGGGTGGAGACTGGCACACTTTCTCTGTGAAGGGCCAGACTGTAATTGTCGTAGTCTTTGCAGGCCATATGGTCTTTGTTGCAACGACTCGACTCTGCTGTTACCGTGTAAAAGCTGTCAGAGATAATACACAAACCAATGGGGGGAGCTGTGTTCTAATAAAACTTTATTTAAAAACAGATAGTGGGCGGGATTTGGCCTGGAGGCCATAGTTTGCCGTCTCCCGTTGTAGACAAGGTGGGATCATTGAAGGCATCTGCGCAGCAGAAAGGCATAATCAGAGAGGATTTGCCAGGGGCCAAGACTCAGTAGTGACGGCAGGGGTTGAAAGCGTAGAACGAGGAAGCAGGAAAGCCCACACCAAGGCCACTGACCCCACGTGGACCCTTTTCCGTGCAGAAGAGAGGAAGAGCAAGCGGAGGGTCCGTACCACCTTCACCACGGAGCAGCTGCAAGAGCTGGAGAAGATCTTCCACTTCACCCACTACCCAGACATCCACGTGCGCAGCCAGCTGGCAGCCAGGATCAACCTCCCGGAGGCCCGGGTGCAGGTACAGTGCCCTGGCCTCAGCCCCGACCTCCAGTCCCCTGGGACCTTGGGGGGGATGCCAGGTATCCCGGGTCCTCTGGGGCTGCCCCATCTGAATGTTTTCATTGTCTCTGTCCTGTGACCACAGTCATAGCGGCCAAACGTTGTTTTCCAGGAAATGAGGCCACCACAGTTACAAGACGGTTTCTCACCTTTGAGAGTGGAAAGGGGAGAGGTGGCATCAGGGACCATCAGGGATCTCTGCTCTGTGCCCTTCCTCCCCACTCGGTGACAATTCCAGAACACTGTTCACCACGCGGCTCATTCACAAACTAGGTCTTGACGATCTAGACCAGGGTCAACAGACTGTTCTGGGAAGAGCCAGATGGCAGTGACTCTAGGCTTCTCGGGGTGCGCAGTCGCCGTCACAGCCGCTGTTCGGCCGGGCCGTGGTAGCACAGCAGCAGCCACAGACACTATGCAAACAAACGAGCATGGTCGGGTCCCGATAAAACTTTATTTATGAGCCCTGAAATTGGAATTTTGTATTATTTGCCTGTGTCACAAAGTATTATTCTTCCTTTAGGTTTTTTTATCCATTTAAAAATGTGAAAGCCATTCCTAGCTCACGGGCCATTCAAAAACAGGTGGCAGGCCAGACTTGGCCCCCAGGCTGAACTTTGCCAACCCCTGGTCTAGACCACGTGGGTATCACTTTGGAGGGAACACAGAAGTAACAAGGACCCTGGAGCCATGGTCAGAGGCCCGGTCAGAGGCAGCCTAACCTGTCATCTGTAATCTCTTCTCCCCAGAGTGCCTATTGCTTCATGCACGATTAGAGATACAGGGGTACATCCTGCCCTCTTCACCCATTCCCAGTTTTGCAAGTGCCACTCAAGCATGTGGAATTCAATTGTGGCTGTAAGACAGTTTTCTAAGTCACTCCATTTTTTTTTCCACAAATGCGATGGACCCATTCTAATTCAAAATCAGGCCACCATTCCACTCTTTATTCTGTTCCAACCTCCTTTCCCTCTGGCTAAGGACCAACCCTGTAGACTTCTCCCCTTCTCCTTCCCACGTGGAATCAGGCACCAGCTAAGTGGGTAGCGCCTGAGCCTGCTGGAGAGCCCAGAGTCCAGCACGCGCCTCGGCAGAATTACCGCCCAGGAGACGGCCGCGCGCCAGGGACCATCAGGGCACTCGTGACTACGAGGAGCTGCCCATGGGGGTTGCAAACTGGTGACCCGCTGGCGACCCACACATGGCTTTTATTTGGTCTGCACAGTATTCTAAAACTTGGAAGCTGTCACATAAAAACCAATATTTCCGCCTTAGAAATTGGATGAACCTGCAACCCTGGACTCACATGTGCACACGGTGACTGTTGCCCAGAGCTGAGCAGCTGCCCCTCAGGCTCTGTTCAACGCAGCCCCTGCCGTTCCCAACTCAAGGCGCCCAGCTGCTTCACGCAGGCAGGTCCCCCTGGCCCTGCAGGCTTGACAGGTTGCGACCCCGTCCTCTCTCAGAAGGGTGACCTCCAGCTCCAAAGAAGTCCTGGAGCCCACGGCACCTGGAAAGTGCCGTCCCTCGGAGGCGCCGGTGCCATGCATTTGAGGCAGGTAGCGCCAGATGGAGAAAACACTTCTGCTCACCCACACCCTCTCCCTAACCACAGATCTGGTTCCAGAACCAGCGGGCCAAGTGGCGGAAGCAGGAGAAGACCGGCAGCCTTGGGGCGACCCAGCAGCTGCGCGAGCCGGATGTGACCCTGCCCACAAATCCGGACGTGGCCGTAAGTAGCTGAGTCCTCATGGGGGGGCTGGAGGGAGCCATGGTCTGGGCACCTCCCGGCCAGACCCAGATGTGAGGAAATGCCTCGGGCTCTGTCTGCAGTAAAAAAAAAATAGTGCAAGGAAAATTCTTTTAGGAACAGCCTGGGGCAGGAAGGCCACCTGTCTCTGTCCCCATGTCCTTTCCCTGAGTGACAGTCATGGTGTTTCTCCTTCCTCCGGGAAGTGGTTTTGTATTATTTGTGCAAAACGTCACAGTCTACAAAACAGGGTCACAGGAAACACAGTACTCGGAGTGTGGGCACGTGGGCTCTGGGGCCAGACTGCCCAGGTTTGAGCCCAACTCTGCACTCGCCTGAGGTAGGGCCTGGAAGAGTCACATTGTCCCTCAGTGGACAATAAGGATGAAATGACCGAGACACAGAATGCTTGGCCCTGAGGAAGTGCTCCCTGCACCTTAGCCGTCCATGGAGACGGCAGGTATTTCTGGGTGTGCACCAGGTGCTAACCGCTGGGGACAGACAGTAACAGGACAAACAGGACAGGCCTGCCCCCGGATTAAAGGTCTTTACACACCCACAGTGACGCTGTGAGGCAGGATTGCTCATTTGCCCATATTTTGCTAATGCAGAAGCTGGTCTCCGAGAAGCAAAGTGACTTTTCTGTATAAAACAATTGCTGCGTGTGCCGGGATTAGGAGCAGGTTTCCTTCGTCCCCAGGTGACGCGATTCTCCAAACCTACAGTGACCAGCCCTCCAGGTTTGCACGGGTCTACACAGGACTTTCAGTGCTAAACCTGGAAAGGCCTGGGCAGACCAGGACAAGCTGGTCACACTCCCCACCCTGAGCTGCCCGAGCCAGGGGGGATGCCTGGGGGGCTGCAGGGTGACACTGAGGACTCACGTCTCTCTCCTGACCTCTCCCGTGACAGGGCCCCATGCTGATGCCCGCTGCTCTGCACAGGCCGGCTCCTCCCGTGGGGTGTTGCCCACCAGCTCAAGGTCAGCCGGCCTCTGCCTGGCTCCCTGCCCGGATCACCCTCCTCCCGCAGCACCCATGGGAGACGCAGCCTCTCCCGGGCCCTGTCGTCCAGCAGACCTGCGTCCCCACACTGTGCATCCTTCCACCTCTGCACCCCAAATGGGGCAGCGTCTGTGCTACTTCAACATAGGGATCGGACGTCCTCTCCCCAGGTGAAGGCAGGTGGCAGGTGTGCCCTGGGACTCGGACGGAATCAATCTCACAATCCAAAGATGGCGCACAGCCCAGGAAGCTCCCCAGAAACCACCCGCTGGAAGGTGGCACCGGGCTCAGCAGCAAAGTCAATGCTAAAGGACAGCTCCCATCTGTCCTGGCCAAAGCTGCTCTGCTGTGCAGAAGGCAAGCTGGACGGGGCCTCAGGATGAGCTCTGGACCAGGGAGCTTGTCCTCCTGCACCTGTGCCTCCTCTAAGTTGCTGTGCAACCTCCAGCCGGTCACTCACCCCCTCTGCACCTCACCTGTAACACGAGGCAGTTGGACAAGATGATTTCTAAGGGCCCTTCTGACCCTTACTTTGGTGAGGTGAACCATGGCCAGCATTGAGACATAGAGGAAGCCAAGTGAGGCTGCTTGTTCATGCATTCCTTCATTCGTTCGTCGTGACACATTTATTGAGCAGCTACTGAATACTCCATAAATAGACATGAACAACTTGGGTCCCATCCAGGCTGGTCAAAGTGTGGTGCTGACTGTCCCTTGCAAACAGAACACTCGTTCAATGGCCTTGCAATTGGCCTGTGTCTAACATATTCCTTGTGGCTTTGATTTGCACATCCTCGAGTAAGAGAGAAATACAGGGATTAATTTTTTCTATTAAAACAGAATTCAGTGTCTTTAGTTATTCTCTAGGATTGAGAGGAGATGTTGTCATTTCTGGCATGCAGAATAAGACAGTATGTTATTTCCTTCAGTCTGTCTTTCCCGGACATGCGTGGGTGGGCCGGCTGGAAGACCAGCCTCACTCTGTCCTGGAGAGCCTGAGACCTCACCCACTCTCTGCTTCCTCGCAGCGAGACCTCGGGCAAACCGCATGCCCTGTCTGAGCCTCAGTTTTCCTGTCTGTGAAAAGGGGTGGTAACCCCCACCTGGCCTGCCTCAACAAGCAATCCAGAGGCTCCGAGAGGACGTGAGAGGACTTTGCAAGGGCTGGGGGATAGGCCCACTGGGGAGCGATGTCGTCCCTCGCAGATTCCACCACAGAGCGGCTGCCCTGGATCCCAGCCCTGACATGAGTAACGCCTGCTCACAGGGAGGCTGCCTCCTGAGCTTCCCTTCTGCATGAGACCTGTCCTTGCTGGGGGACACGGCGCCTGCTCCCCTAAGCTGGGCAGTCTGGACTGACCTCTATGCACAAGTCTGACCTCCATGCACAAGGTCCAGGAATCTTCTGCAATCTACCTGGGGTCCTGACCCGCCGCGGAGCTGGACCGAGAGCTGAAGAGCCTAGGTCTCGCCCTGCTCTCCTTCTACTCCACTGTGTAACCTCACCATTTAATCTCGCTCAGCCTCTGTCTTTCCATCTGTAAATCAGAGGTAGCGACGCTAGCTCCACCCTTAGGCACACCATACGCCAGACCACAGATGGCAGCCACCGGTGTCTCTGCAGACTTAGAACTGCCAAATCACTCGGAGGCCATGAATGTCGCCACTGACACGTAGTCTCTGACCACTCTGGGTGAAAGGAGAAGGCTAGAGACCAAAGGATTAAAAATCCAGTTACCAAAGGTGGGTCGCGCATAACTTGAGTAGCAGGTACCCATTTTATGACCCTACACTCCAATGTGCAAAATGTAATTTCCAGCATTTTGCTGTAGCTGGATTTACTTTCTGTTGTTTACAGGAAATTTATTCCAGTACCTTCTAGGTTACTTACTCCTTAGACCCTGCAGGTTTAAAGGCAATCACATTTGAGATTGTCCCTCTCTGCTCCCCTCCTTTCCACAGGGGTCTTTGCTCTGCTGAGGGTGAGGGGTGAGAAAGTGCTTGTGCAAATGCCACCACCAGGCATGTCCACTTCCCAGCGTGCTCAGTCCCCCACTAGCACCCACTGAGGTGTGTCTCATCTGGCCTGGCTGTGGGCATGACCACCTCATTCAACCCCGCTTTGGGGGTGCACGTCCTCTGCGGTAGCCTCCGGCCCCAAGTGAGAATGCACCTGGCTTCCTCGCTCTCCTGAGCAGGAGGGAAAGCTGAAGGCTCTCCCACAGCCCCGGTGCCGTGGGAGCCTGGGCCAGGCAGCAGGTCTCACTCATTCTAGACCTCTCGTGTCCATTCCTCCTGCCCTGCTGATAGGAAGGGCCCGCAGAGACTGAAGTTCTCCAGACTTCCAAGTGGAATGGGAGAGGTGCAGGTCCCTTCTGCTCTGGGGTCCCCATCCCCTTTCTCAGCCACACACACCCCTTCCCCAGGCTCCTCTAGAAACAGGATTTGTCAGCCATAAGAGGTTCAGGTGACCAGATGTCCAACTTCACTACTGAGGCAAACATTGATTCTGAGGGACCATTTCTTCCTTCCTAGGGATCTCCCCCACCCCCACCCCCCCCGGGAGCTATTGTTATTCCCTTTGCCTGTGTCTTGGGAACAAAGGAATCATTTTGACCTCTTACTGGCTGTGTGACCTAGGGCACGTGACATCCCCCTGTGCACCTGCTCCATGAATAACACAGCTCTTGCCTCTTAGGGTGTCCGGGCCAGTGACATGAGTTGACACACGTTAGTACGTGGTAAGCACTCAATGTGTGTCAAGGAAAAAGCCATTTCCCCCAATACACCTTCTACCCTGTTCTAGTTCTGACTTCGAGCAGCTCTTCTCATCTCGCGCTCTGCCCGGGAGTTCCTAAACCGGTCTCTAGGAAGGCAAGGAACTCCCACGAGGGAATGTGACGTTGGGGGTGTCTGTGGGTTTATCTTTCCCAGGGAAAGGATGCATGGCTTTAATCAGCTCTTACAAGAGCCCTGAGGCTTAAAAATGGCAATAATAAGGAATCCCGTCGGACACACCTGAGTCAGATCGTGACAGCTTCGTAGTCTAGCTAGGAGGACTGGAGACTGGAGAGAAATTCAAGGATAACTTTTATTACAAGGCAAAATTATATAAACATTGTTACGGTTTGAATGTGCCCCCTAAAAAAAGCAGTATGTGTTAGAAATTTAATCGCCATGGTAACAACATTAAGAAGTGAAACCTTTTTAGGAGGTGATTGGGCCGTGAGGCTCTGTCCTCATGAATGGATTAGTGCTGTCATCGCCAGAGCGAGTTCCTTATAAAAGGATGATTTCGGATCACTTTCCTCCCCCCGCCCCGCCTCTCTCTCTCTCTCTTTCTCTCTCTCTCTATCCCCCCCCCCCGTTTTATTTGCCCTTTGCCCTTGCTGTGGGATGCCACCTCAGAAGGCCCTCACCGAATGCTGGCCCCTTGATCTTGGACTTCCCAGCCACCAGAACTGTGAGCCAATAAATGTCTATTCATTATAAATTACCGAATCTGTGGTATTCTGTTACGGCAGCGCAAAATGGACCAAGACAAATATAAAATGAACAAATGCCAAAGTTTTATTTAAATCATTCCCAACCTCCTTCTCCATTGCCAGCTTTTACTATAGAGATTTGGAAAATCCAAGTACTTGCTTTCTTAGCTGCCCTTGCATCTAGGTGTGGCTTTGTGACCAAGTTCTGGAGAAAGAGTCCCAGCAGAAGCCTGCTGAGGGATTTCTGGAAGAATTTTGTTTTTCCTGATAGAAGGGATAGATGTGGCTGACACTCCTTCTTCTGCTTCTTCCTAACTTGAATGCAGATGTGACAACTGGAGCTGAAGCAGCCACTACGTGACCATGAGGGAAAGGTTAAGAGACTCATAGACACACTAGCCCTATTTCCAGGTTCCTTGTTATGTGAGCAATTTAAATCCATATTTGTGTAAGCTACTGTTGGTTTGGTCTCTATTTCTTGCAGCTAAAAGCACTCCTATATGATACAAATAGGTAACATTTTGGATTCTGTAATGAACACTTTTTGTTTGTCAACTCAGCTTTCCATTTCCCTTTCATCTGATACTCGCACTTTAGGTTTGCTAGGGGATCCCTATTTCTCCACTCTCCACACATGTGGTTTTGGGGGAGCTGCCTCCACCTCTTGTTGTACCCTAGGAGGGTCTGCAACCCCGTCTTGGCCAGGACATTGCACCAGCCTCCCCCCACCAATCCTTGGGGACAGCTAGATTGAGGGACGGTTTGGACCTCAGGCATGGCCAGCAGCACTCGGTCCAGGACCTTTGTGGTGACCCTTGGAAACAGCCTTCCTCTTTTGGCGTGAACTTGGGAAGGCGTGGGCCTGCGGGTCCGGCTGGTGCAGAGGACAGCAAGGTGGAGATGAGCCCTGAGCCTGGGGACACAGCTGAGCTTCCACCCAGCCCCGCCTGGACTTTTCAGGTACTCGAGCTGATACTGTTTGGTGGAAGCCAGAGTTTTAAGCCAGTTTTTGTCGCAGCCAAACCATTTCAGGAGTCTAGACTCAGTGAGGCCAGATAGCCCCAAATAAAAGTTATGAGCACAGAGCAGGGGTTCAGCACCTTGTCAAATGAATCCTGTGTTTTGCTGAGCCCTCTGCAGATGATTCACTCCCGAGCTGGATGGCAGAGCCCAGTGCTCAGGCTCCTCGTCCTTGGTTCTCCCATAACATCTCGCCCAGACCCTTATCTCAGTCACTGCCGTTGTCCACGTGTGTGGACCTGCCCGGGAAGCAGAGAACCAGATCCCTGGCCGAATCTCCTGGCTGTCCTCTGCATCTGTCCCCTGAGGTTACTGTAAAAGTCCATCCTATGACCAAGAGCTCCTGGCCAGAAGGGCTTCTCCACTCTAATTCCCGACCTGTGCCTGGCCCTGATCTCCTCTTGCTTTTAGCCCCAGAGCTCTCTGTCCACTTCTCCTTGTCCCCTGCGTCCTGCTCTCCCAGGCTCCAGACAGCACTTTTGGCCCTTCCTTCTCCCTCCTAGGATTTCCAGCAGTGGCCCACTGGGTGGCCCCCCAGCTCCCCGGGGGGAATCCCTCCAGCACCAGAAGATGCAGGTAGACATTTTCTTTGATAGCAGAATGTAAAATTGTAAAATACGAAAGAAGTGAGAAAAAGCACTAATTGTTCTGTTATTTGCTAATATTTTAATTTATAAAATTATATACTTAACAGGAAAAATTTAAACACTGAAAGTCATCAATGAAAATAAGCATTTCCCTCTCTGCCTTGTGACTCAGCTGGCTCACTCACTAGAAGTAATTGCTGCCACCTTTTTGTGTGTATCCATCAGGAATTTTCTATGCACACAGAGACCCATGCACGTGTGTGTACACTGCATGTGGGTAGAACAAATAATGAGTGCCTACTATGTGCCAGGCCCTGTTCTGGTTCACAGAAATAAGCAGTGTAAAAGTCAGATATAATCCCTGATTTCACGAGCTTTTGTTCTAGTGTTAGGAGACAGACGATAAGTAAGTAAATAAATGTATAATATGGCAGGTGCCAATGCAGGGCTAGCAAGTGACAGAGTGTGCTTTAGACAGAACAGTCTGTGGGGTGGATCTGTGAGTGCTATTTGAAGGCAGACAGGGAGGAAGTGAGGGAGTGAGCCGTGCAGATAGCTGGGAAAGGATATTTCAGGCAGACTAGATAAATATTATATTATATAATATAATAAATAATATTATCTCTGGCTGCCGCCTGAGGAATAGAGCCCCGTAGGGAAGGCAATAGAGGGAGTATAGTGGGGAGATGGTTGTGGGCAGCAGCTGACATGTCTCGGGGGCTGGTGTCCGGGAGGTGGGGGTGAACGCTGGATTTGCCGCTTGATAAGAAAAGAGAGTTACCGAGAATGCTCTCAGGATTTTAGCCTGAGCAACTAGAAGAAAAGTGTGGCCATTTGTTGGGAGGGGGAAGGCCAAGGCAGAAGCAGGTTTGGGGCAGGTAGTGAATAGAGTCTGTAAATAGACAGGTTAAGCTTGAAATGCCTTTAGACACGCAAGTGGAGGTGTCAGGAGAGCCCAAGGAAGAGATTTGCACGAGGTGACACTTGGGAGTCACAGTGCGTGGTAAACTCAGAACAACACTACAGCTCTCCCATCAAGAAGAGGAGTCCAGGCCGGGCGCGGTGGCTCACGCCTGTAATCCTAGCACTCTGGGAGGCCGAGGCGGGCGGATTGCTCAAGTTCAGGAGTTCGAAACCAGCCTGAGCAAGAGCGAGACCCCGTCTCTACTATAAATAGAAAGAAATTCATTGGCCACCTAATATATATATAGAAAAAATCAGCCAGGCATGGTGGCGCATGTCTGTAGTCCCAGCTACTCAGGAGGCTGAGGCAGGAGGATTGCTTGAGCCCAGGAGTTTGAGGTTGCTGTGAGCTAAGCTGACGCTGCGGCACTCACTCTAGCCTAGAAAACAAAGCAAGTCTCAAAAAAAAAAAAAAAAAAAAAAGAAGAGGAGTCTACTTTCCCACCCTTGAACCTGAGTGGCCTTGCACGTGCTCTACCCATCGGAATGCAACAGGATGGACGTGTGAACACTAAGCCTTGAGCCTCCAGAGACCCCATAGCGTCTACCTCCGAGCTCTGGGAATCCCGTGACCCCTAATCAAAGAAGCCGGGGGAGCGCCGTGTGGGCCCCTCCCCTTGTGGCCCAGCCGCCAGCCTGCCGAGCCCAGACCCGTGACGCAGGCCGCCCCGGATCGCACACACGAGCGAGCCCAGCGGAGATGACCCGAGTCCGCCTAGACCCAGTGGGAACCCTGTCAAGCCACGAATCATGAACCGAAGAAGTGGTGGTTGTTTCGAGCAACTGAGTTCCGGGGGCGACTTGTTACGGAGCGAAAGCCAACTCACGCAGCGGCCGACAGCGTGCAGACGATGCTTTTATAGATAAAGATCTCTTCATCCTTCTCTCACTCAAAGGAGATCCTAACACTGTGCTGCAACTTGATTTTTCCTTTTAATGAAGTATCTAGTGATAATCCCCCACGAGGCACATTTCCATCTGTCTCGTCTTCAACTGCCGGCGGATGCGGCACGACAGGCTCCACAGCGTCCTCGTGAGGCGGCTCCTGGCTCTTGTTACCACAAAGCCTCCGTGAACATCCTTCTGCACAGTCTTTATTAACATATGCATGTGTATTTGTCAGATAAATTCTTGAAAGTAGAATTACTGAGTCAAAGAGATTTGCATTTACAATACGAATAGTTGATGTCAAATTGCCTTCCAAAATGATTTACTAACTCCTACTCCTCATGTATGACAGTGCCTGTTCCTTCAAACCCTCACTAACGCTTTAAAATATTTGCCAATCTAAAAGGCCAAAAATGTACTTCATTACTGTTTTACTGTATTTACATTTTTAATTTGGATGAGGTTGAGAATATTTTCATATGTTCAGTGTCTATTTATATTAATTACACCATCTAATGTAATCCTCCTCTTCTGAGGCAAGGCAGGTCTTGTTATCCCCATTTCATGGATGAGGAAACTGAGAGTTGCAGAGATAAAGTAATTCTATGTGGGTAAAAAATCGTGGAAGACTTTGACGCCTGGGGGTTCTGTCACACTCTTCTAGGATATCTGCATCTTTCATTATCTTTGAGCTATTTTTCAACTTAAGTAGGAAACTGTTAGTAATGCAAATGATTCTTGTCAATAGAAATGCAAGTGCTAGTGTTTAGTGGAGATGAAATTGATTATTTCCCTATGGCTATTGACTTTTTTCCCCTCCTATTTGTAATTCCGCATTCCCGATCTCCTGTGTGCTTGTCTGTTCTTCGAATGTGTGTGTTCCGCTTCGAAGTGTTATGACATCTTAGTGGATGATCCAGGACAGCTGTGTCTTCCATACTCTCTTGGCCCTTTGATGACCTCACCGGTGGCACGGCACAGTGGACAAGTCGCTGCACTAGGGGTCAGGATTGCTGAGTTCCGAGCTGAGGGGAAACACTAGCTACCTGCGCAGTCACTTTATCTCTCTGGAATTCAGGCATCTAAAGGACTCTTCGAGAACACCAGAGACAGCCATATCATGAACTGTCTATCAATATTCATTCAACTAACATCTACTAAGCACCCTGCATATCACCAGACATGGTGCTAGAAACCACAGCGGATAGAAAAGCAAGAGAAAAAAGTAGCCCCTCTTGCAAATGGAAGGACCGCATGGTCAATTCATTTAAACACATTTTGGGATCCCATGAAAACCCTTCCAAGACTAGAACAGACCCTGCCTGCCTGCCCTCCCACCAGCAGCTTTCCCTCTCCTGTGCTGTGAGGTCGGGGCTGGAGAGAGAGAAGACCTGTGACTCCACTGGCCACTTCTGGGAGGGGGTCTGAGCAGGGGAAGGGGGCAGGGAAGGGCAGGAGCCTCGTTCCTGCAGCCAACTTACAGACGCTGCAAACGGGCAGCTT